ATGCATGAAAACAGTCCCTTGCAAATAGACAGCATTCGATAAATTAATTATGATTAGCTTATCATTAATATTTTTGTTAACCGTTGTTTATTCATTTTATAAATACTTGTTAGTTTATTATTCTCTGGCTTCTCTGCTCCAGAGAAGGCTGGATTCCCCTCTCTGTTCCCATACCTCTGGCTCTTGTAAAGCTAAATTGTACTTTTGTTTTGCTTGGCTGCTAGGCTCTGAACTTCTTAAGGGTAATGTGTCCTTTACTCCAGCTCCTAGTGCAGGACCAGGCACTTTAGGACTTAAGGTCAAAGTGGGATAATAGAATAGGAAGAAAATGGGGTCCAGGGCCTTACTGAAATGAACAGTCCTAGCTCTGTCTCCCATTTCTGGGGCTACTTTGAACAAGGCCCCTAATGTTTCTGGCCTCTGGCTTCCTCTCTAGAAAAAGTGATGGTTAGACCTGTCTCAGGGAGTTTCTGGAGTGAAGGTATTCAAAGCACCCAGCTTGGAATTGGCATCAATGAATAGTTATTTACTAGCAGCTTAACAAATCATAAGTTGCATGAAAGAATGTGAGAAATGAGATGTGACATCCTAGATGCAGAAGCATCAGCCCATATCTAAGGCTCAAAGAAAGTCTGAGGGGAAAGTGCCCTAGAGACGATCCAGTCTTGTTGACCCATTGTACAGAATAAAAAGGGCACATTAGTTTGGTGGGGCAACTGTTCTTCTCTACAGTTACTCGAACATGTAGCGAAGAGACTGAAGCCTCAGTCCCTAGATACTGAGCACTTGGCTTCTTGGAGAGCTGCCACCATCCTTGGCTTCTAAGCTAAGGGACATCCTGCAGTCTCCCAGGGGCTGTTTCCAGGATGCTTAGCAAGGTTCCTTATTAGCTTTGACTCCCCACTAGGGGACGTTTTTCTCTAGAACCATGGGTACCAGCTGAATTCCCCACAGGAAGGGTTAGGGTACTCTCCAAGCCCCTTAATCCTCTCCTCTTCTCTTCCTGTGCTTACTCCCATGGCACTATCACCCCATCATGTGGCTTTATATACCATCTGTATGTTGACTATTTCTAACATTTTATATGCCCAGTCCACACTTCTCCCCTGAACTCCAGACTTGGAGATCCAACCACCTCTTGTCATCGCCACTGGAATGTCTAACAGGCATCTCAGTCTGAATGTACCCCAAACTGAGCTCCTGATCGTCCTACTCCTGCCCCACAGATCTCCCCATCCAGTTATGACGGCCACTCCATCTTTCCAGATGCTCAGGATGAAACCAGGGCACCATCCTCAACTCATTTCTTTTCTTCATCCCGCCAAGTCCAATCTGTCAATGAATCCTATTGGCTGTACCTTCAAAATATGTTTACTTCCTGCTATCTCGGTCCAGGCCACCATCATTTCTAGACTTACTCACAGTCTCCTGTCTGGTCCTACAGCATCTAGCCTTGCTCTGTGATTCTCATCTCATTAGAGAAAAAGCCAAAATCCTTACAATGACCTCGAGGGCCCTACACGGTCTGACTCGTTTCCTATCACTCTCCCGTTGCCGCGTTCACTCCACACTGGTGTTGCCTGTGCCAGGCACACTCCTGCTGCAGGGCCTCTGCCCTCGCTATTCTCTCTGCCTAGCATGTTCTTCCTTTAAATAAGTGCATGGCTGGTTCCTCCACGTCTTTCAGATAATTATTCAAAAGACCCATCTTCCCGAGGCCTTTTCAGTCTGTCCTGTCAAAATTTCAACATCTCTCCAACATTTCACATCTCCCAGCCTTGCTTTGTCTTTTTCTTCTTAATATTTATAACTATTCGATACACCATACATTTTACTCATTTATCCTCCACTGGAATGTAAGTTCCATATGGGTAGAGCTTTTGTTTATTTTGCTCTCTGAAGTATCTCCAATAACAAAAACAGAGGTTAGTGATATTTAAAAAATTTACATCCTACTTTTAATTTAATCTTCCCAATAACCCAATAAGATACTTTAGTATTTTCCCCATTTTATAGACAAGAAAACCAAGGCAAAGAGGTCACTTGCCCATGGGTCACACAGCTAGGAAATGGGACCTGGGGTATACTCTACTCCACCCCTTACCTTACTAACCTTTTTTATTATCATTATTTGTGCTCAGGTTTCTCTCGATTTAAATGAGGCTCATAAGAGTGTCCTCTTTGTAAGGTCACTGTGATGATTAGGTGTTATAAAGCATGTGACAAGCTGAAACCCAGTGCCTGGAATACTGCAAACACTTAAGAAGTGGTCGCTAGAAATATGAAAGAGTCTACGAGGAGTTTGTTCTTGGTTCACGAAAGGTAGGGACATTTCAGGCACAGAGCCCAGTCAAGGGGCTGGGAAGATACTATTATTGTTAACATGGCTGTCATTCCCCTCTGTTTTTCTGTGTAGCATGTTTTAGCCACACCAGCCTGTACCCAGAATGAGTCCAGGTTGTGACTGTGTCATGTACTGGGTACTCTGCTTGGGATGCATTTAGGACATTTTTCTCTATGGAAATTCGTATGTATCCTTCAGGGCCCAACTCAGAAATGCTCTCCTCAGGAAAGACTTTCCTGACTGCCCCAGGCACCCCCTGTTCCTCTTATAGTTAAAACCACTATTTATTTAATGATTATCTTTTTGTTTATTTATTTGTTTAATCTGAAGCCCCTACCAGGCTATGAACTCCCCAAGGGCCAGGTGTTGTGGGACCTGAAGTATAGACAATTTGAGGGCCCTCTTTAAAAATATGAAATTAGAAACACCAAACCAGGCTTGAAAGTGAATATTTATTTAGAATGAGAAAGAAAAATCACAACTTTTAAAGTTTAAAAAACTGAAAAATACCACAAAAAATAGAAATAAAAAATAATAACAAATCATTACTAATCAACTACTTAACACTCTTTTGTAATACTTTTTTCTTACATTTCTGGCTGCACACTCTTTTATCACTTATGTGACAACACTGGATGATATTTTCTATAACAGGACTAGGAAGATAATTCAGTCTTTCCTCTAGCATAATTGATCAAAATTAGTTTTTTTTAATTAGTAATCATTTAGATTTTTTCCTTCACCTTTGCAATTCATTATTGGTAAGGTTATTTATACTCTTAAGGATTTGTTGTTGTCAAACTTGGGGTAACCTCTATCCCACCTCTTACATATGTGAGTGGTAAGATTTGGAAAGGTTTTCCACAGACTAGCTTCTGGCTTCATACATTTCAAACCTATTTCTCTTCCAATACCCGCACACCACCAGGGCTAGACATAATGATGATTCTCCACCTTCATATCACAACTGGGGAAGACAGCACGGTGGGCATTAGGAAGCCATTCTGGGGCGTCTAGAAATAATAAAACTACACCCAGAAGGAGCTAGGACGTCATAAGTATATACCCCCCAAACCCAAACCAATGAGCCCTTATTCAAATTCTATAAATGCCTGTAGCCATCTGACATGAAGAGAGGTGTGAAGGAGGAGATAGGGTGGTTTGAACTGACTGATTAAAATATCTCACCTTTGCAAATTTTAGGAAAATATGTAATCCAATGCAAACAATGTATCCTAAAGCTTAAGCATTACGAGCTTCATGGTTCATCCATGCCTAAGGCAGACTTGAGTCTTCTCAAAGTCCCCCAAGGCCTAGCCTTGGACATCACACACGATAGGATGCCAAGGTTGCATCGAATGTCAGTTTAGAAGGGAGAACCATTAGAGAGCACTGGGACTTTTCCCATAGAGACCTGGGACTCTGAGGTGTCTCAAAAGCTACTTCTGGGGACTTTTTAAACTCTATTTAAATAATAGTGATGACATTAAGAGCCATCATCCCCCCCAACATACATTGGGCGCTTTGTTATGTGACAGATATTGTTCTAAGTACCCGACTTGTATCGAGTTATTTAACCCCTACGACATACCTACAAAGTTGGAATTATCATTATCCTATTTTTTAGATGAGGAAACTGAGACTTGAAAGTTTCAGTTTTATATATTAAGGTTCCATGTAAGATACCTTTTGAAAAAAATTGTCCTATTAATAAGTTTTTTAAAAGCCTAAAATGGTTCAAGCCCTTTCTTTTACGCACAGGAGAGTAAAACCCAGAAAAAGGGTTTTGCTCAATGCCACACATTTATTCTTATTTCTTGGATGTCACTTCTGTGCTAGGCACTGTGCTATGACTTCGAGGTTCAGAGACCGACAAGACATTCATAGAACTCAATTTCAGTGGGAGTCAATAGACAATATATATAACAAGATATAAGTAAGCAAAATAATTCCAGCGATTGCTGATATAATAAATTTGGAGAGATGTGATCGAGTGACAAGCAAGAAGAGTGATAATTCAGATTGAGAGGTGCTCAGGGAAGTGTGTCTAAGGAGGTGACATGTGAGCTAAGACCTGAATGACCTGAAGCAGCCAGCTATAGAACACTCTGAGAAAAGAGCACTCCAGGTGGAGGCAACCGTGAGTGCAAAGGCCCTGAGGCAGGAATACTTGGTTTGTAATAGAGCTGACTGCAGGTCTGGTGCTCCTTCGCCACTTGGTGCCTCTCTAGCCACTTAAAGAGGTCCCTTTGGTGTCCCGGGCCTCCCTTAAGCTCAGTCCCTAAGGTACCGACTTATCTAGGAAGGCAGTAGCATTTGGGGACTGTTAGTCCCCCTCCCAGAAGCCCCATGGCTGAACCGGATCTGAGTTTCCTGGTTCCTGTCTGGCAGGGAGTGAGCAGACATCCTCCCTGCTTTCTCTCCCCAGGCTCCAGCCCCAGCCCCAAATCTCCATGACAACCCTAGACACAATCCTGATCTGAAGGAGGATCTGGAACTGGGAGCAGAAAGATCACTGTAGAGAGACCAGAGGAGCTTATTGACTTGCTTCCCCTTGCTCCTTGGATCTTGCCGGCTCCCCAGCTAGCTTGGCCAGGCCCCTACACCCCAGTCTCCCGAAAGACCTCAAACTGAAGATTCTGCAGATCTTCCCTGTTGTTGGGCACAGCAGGGCCTGGATGGAGCCCTGTCTTCTGCAACTGGTCCAGAGGCTGCTCCTGCTGGGGGCAGCTGCCCTGACTGTGTCTGCTTTGGAAACAGGTGAGTATGAAGGGACTTGGCTAGGGTATGAAGGGATTTGGGTCCCACCACCCTTAGCAACTGTGTTTCCCAATCAGCACTCACCTTGATGGGCTGGGACCCCTTGAGCTGGGGGAGGCTGGGAAACCAGCCTGGCACCACCAAATCTACCCCAAACCCCTCTGGAAGGCTGGAGCTCCAAGTCACCCAGAAGCAGGGGTCTGGGCATAGGTGGGACAGCCCTCAGACCTGGCAGTGGAAACACTCTGGGCTTTGGAGTCAGATCACCCTGTGTTCACACACGCCCGTTGCCTCTTCCTGCATTTCTACCACTGAGATCATTGTTTCAACTCTCTAAGTCAGTTTCTCCAGTAGTAAAATGGGAATAATAATAAGTTCTTGCCCCTAAGAGAATTTGTTATTGTTCATATGAGATGAGGTAAACCATGCAAGACACTTAGACAGCCTGGGACATAGAAGGTGCTCAATTCATCACTCTCTACACCTCACTCCACCCTGCTGGCATGTTGCTCCATGATGGCTGAGGGAAATCAGGGTCCTTTTAGCAAAAAGGAACTGGGAAAGGCTGTTGGGCGAACCGGTGCCAGGTTGTGTCTACGTCATCCTTAAATAAGGCAATAATAATAGCTAACACTTCCATAACTCATTAAATGTCAGGCACAGTCCTAAGCACGGAACCCCTATATAGTCACAATCCTTTAGTTTCAACTCCAAAATACAAAAAGCTGTGAAAACCAAATTTTTAACTAATTTACCGGCAACACCTGACCTGAACTGACAGGAGGCTGTTTATTGTCTTTATTTGTCCTGCTTAGGGTATATTCCTACAGTCGCTATGGAAAACATAATCATGGAGGGCTGCAACATAATATGCTGTATATACATCATATGATCTTTCTAAAATCTGGAACATTCTGAAACACATCCTAGGGTTTTTAAATAAGAGATTGAGGATTTGACTTAAATTATTTAATCGTCACAAAAATTCTGAGATTGCTTAATTATCCCCATTTTACCGATGAGGAAACGGGCTCAGAGAGGGTGTGTGACTTGGGGTCACACAGCGAGGAGGCAGAGCCAGGCCTGGAACCAGGCCGCGAGGTTCCAGGGTCTGTGCTTTTCGCTGCAGCCGACCTGGTGGACCTCTGCGGGCAGATGTGGCAGGGGGACGGGCTGCTGCTGCGCTCGCACTCCGCGTCGCGCAGGTTCTACTTCGTGGACCCGGACACCGACTGCGAGCTCTGGGTGCGGGCGGCAGCCCCCAGCGACAGGATCCGCTTCCAGTTCCGCTTCTTCCTGGTCTACACCCTGACCTCGGAGTCTCCAGCATCTTCAGCGCCCAACGCCTCCTCCCCGGCGTCTACGGACGCGTGCGCTCCCGGCTCCTACCTGCAGTTCTACGAGGGTCCGCCGGGGGCGCCCCGGCCACTGGGGGCCCCACTCTGCGGCCTGACCATCCCTGTGCCGGTGATGTCCTTCGGGGAATTCCTGGGCCTGCGCCTGGTCACCAGAGGTCGCCAGCCTCGCGTGGACTTCGTGGGCGAAGTCACCTCTTTCCGGTTGGGTAGGTTGGGGCTGTTGGCCAGGACCAGAGCCTCCAAGCTGGGGGCCACCAATAAGACACTGGGAGCACAAGAAGATGAGGGGCAGGGGGCTGGGTCCTCAAAGAGAGGAAGTGGTGACTGATGTCAGGATTGGCAGGGTCACACTGAGGGACATTCCAGACCCAATGAGTCAACCCCATAAATCTGGTTTCCATGGAAGAGTATACCAGACTACTCTACTAGTCCCTGACACACACACACTCACCCTCTCACATTCACACACATCTCCCATTCCCACACAACTCCCATACACTTAAAACCTCACACTCTAACACCTGCTCACACTCACACATACAAATCACAACGCATACCTTATACACCCACAGTACCACCTTGGACACTCCCCCACATTCTCATGTTCACGCACTGGTTCCTCTGTCCTGGGCCAGCCCTTCAGATGATTGCAGAGGGGCCAAGTTAGGACAGTTGGAGAAGTTAAGTGTTCTCAGGCCTCTCTGCTCACAAGAGAAGCAGTGTGGACTTTCACTGCTGGAGTTATGTCTTCTGGCTCAAATTGAGTTCAAGGCTTTAGCCCCAGCAGGTTACCCCAGGATTGGAGACACAACTCACCAGTGTCACAGCCAGTGTCACAGCAGAGACTGTGTCCAGTGCTGGTGAGTAGATGAGCTGTTACAGTCTAGAAAATTCCAAAACCACAGAAGAGTTTATCTCCATCTCTGGCTAAATATCCAGACTGGAGAATTAAACATGTGAGCACTTTGAGACAAGAACGTGGGGTCTCAGAGCCAACAAGCGTTCACCATGAACTAGACTTTGGCATGCCAGGCCCTGGACAGTCCTTTAATACTGAGCTGGTTGGAGACCGCCCCCATGCTGTCTCATTGTCTCAAAGTCCCAACGTTCTTTTTCCTGGAATTGTGCATGGTCTGAAGTTTGTTTGTTTGTTTGTTTGTTTGTTTGTTTTTTTAGGCAAAGCAGCCCTCGGCTGACATCACAGATAGCAAAGACCTTGTTAGCTTATAGTCCCTTATTTTTAAATTTCTTTTTACACCTAAAGCACCTGGTCTTCCTAGGTGGTCTCCCATCCAAGTACTAACCAGGCCCGACCCTGCTTAGCTTCTGAGATCAGATGGAATCGGGCTTGTTCAGGGTGGAATGGCCATAGACTTGAATTTTGGATTTTAGATGACATCACAGATAGCAAAGACCTTGTTAGCTTATAGTCCCTTATTTTTAAATTTCTTTTTATACCTATAGCACCTGGTCTTCCTAGGTGGTCTCCCATCCAAGTACTAACCAGGCCCGACCCTGCTTAGCTTCTGAGATCAGATGGAATCGGGCTTGTTCAGGGTGGCATGGCCATAGACTTGAATTTTGGATTTTAGATTCTCTTTTCCCCCATTAGAGTCTCTGGGAGGAACTATATGAAATTTGTACTGTAAATCCTTGGGGCTATGACCGATGGTGCGTAGGATCCCTTTCTGGCTCCTGCAGGTTCCCATTATGTTGTTTTGAAACAGCTCTCACTGGCTGGTTGGAAATCAACCTCTCCCCACCTCTCCCCATGGCCTTCCCTTCTTCTCAGGTGCAGCTGTCAGCCAGGGAGGCCAAGAATGTTGCCGCTGCTCTGTGTTTAGCAGGATTGGGCTCCAACAAGAAGGTGACAGTGGTGAAGCCCTATTACAAGTCCGGGTTCCTTGGATCAGTCCTGTCACCTGATTGAGGAAGGTTTATTTCACGTCCTTGGGCCACACACACAGTCTCAGTGGCTCACACATGCGAGCATACCCTGCCTGGCTCCGGCCCACACTCTGACATTGACAGCCGACAGTCATGTGTGATTCTCCATACATTACCATGCTACTATTTGTTTTCTCTCTCACAGACATTCATTCTTACACCCATACACTTTCTATATTATTCACTTTTATTTGCAAACGAAAGAAGCCCAGCTCAAGTTGGCTTAAGCCAAAGGAGAATTTGGGAGGGGCTCCTGTAACCTGGATAGTAAGGTGTTGGCTCAGATATAGCTGGATTCTGGACTTCAGGTAATGTCACCTGGGCTCTGTCTCTTTGTTCTTGTCCTCTCTCTTTGCAATGTGTGGGTCTGTTCGGCTTCCATCTCAGGCAGATCTTCTTTCTACTTGGCAGCAAGGTGGTCCTGCAGCTCCAAGACCACAACCACCCTTACGACTCTGATCTGAATGAAACAGAGAGCATGCATCTTTCCTTATGATTCTAGCAAAAGCCCTGGGCCAAATCAGATTAATCATGCCAGGAAATGGAATGCTCTGATGCCCATGTCCACTTTTGAGCCATGGTGTTAAGTAGTCCCATCTAGACCAGCTTTTCTCCACAGAATGGGATGCTGGGTGAACCAACCTGTCTGCCACATCATTGCAGTGAGTCATACAATTCTTTCGCCTGTGTGCATATTCATTCATGTAACAAATATTAATTGAGCACCTGCAATGTGTGAGGTGCTGTTCTAGGCTCTAGGGGTACAGCAATGAAGAAAAGAGAAGTCCCTGCCCTCTCTGAGCTGACACATTGGTGGGAGAGACAGACGGAAAACAAATAATCAAGTAAATCCTTATTCTGCCTAGATGGGATGTGCTGCAGAGGAACCCAGATCAGGATAACGAGGGTGGGAGTACTGGGGGAGGGGTGGTATGCTGTTCTCAGGTGGGAGATTAGGGAAGGTCAACCAACAAGATGACATTTGAGTGGAGACCTGGAGGGAGCAAGCCATGCTGTCACTTGGGGAAGAGAATGCCAGGCAGAGAGGATGGCAGGAGCAACGCCACGAGCAAGGATGTGCTTGGCAGTATTCGGGTTGACTGGGTACCGTAGGCTGTATGGATGTGCTCATGCAGACACATAGTCACACTCACCGTGTGCCACAGTATTTGTAAGCATTGGACTGAACACCTACTCTGCCACCTAGATGCCAGCTGTGTGGCCTTGGTCAAGTGACCTAACCCTCCTGTGCCTCGGTTTTCTCATCTCTAAAGGAAGTTAATAGCAGCATTTACCCTAGAAGGTTATTGTGAGGACTTAATGAGGTGAGATGGGAATGAACTGTTTAGAATCATGCCTGGCACAGAATAGGACTCAGTAAATGTTAGCCATCATCATCTTGATTATACACCTGTCTCCCATGAAACTCTCATTCATACTCTCATCTGCATACACATAGAAACAGCCCTCTCCTGCCCACATCTCCCACATTCCTTCACTATAAGATTACACATCCCATTGTGTCATGGGCTGGCCTTAGGTCCTCATAACATGCCTTCCCTTTTGGACCCAGGATCCTGTGATGGCTATTTCCGCTGTCGGAACAGCAGGTGCATTCCCCCGAGCCTGGTATGCGATCTCTGGGGCATGGACAACTGTGGTGATGGCAGTGACCAGGCTTCCTGGCCACCAGCCAACTGCAGAGGTCAGTGATGGGTGTGGCCTGGGCCCTGCTGAGCAGCTAGGAGGAAAACTAGGCTTAGCTCTCCTTCCCCAGGGCAGGGCCTCGGTGGAAGGCCAGAGGCAGGGGCATGGCAGGAGAGAATAAGATGAAGCACAATAGTGGGGAATCGGGTTAGCCCAGACTACCTGAGGATCAGAGCAGGTTAGAGCCAGGACACTAGAGATGATCTAACCCAGCTGCTTCCAAATGATATATTAGTGGTGGAAGCGTTAGCCCAGACTACCTGAGGATCAGAGCAGGTTAGTGCCAGAATGACACTAGAGATGATCTAATCCAGCTGCTTCCAAATGATATATTAGTGGTGGAAGTTTTTCCTAAATGGAACCCTGCACAGAGGCTCAAAACATCAAAAGGAGATGCTCCATTTAAATGGACATGGGGTGGGCCTGGGCCCTGGCCAATGGATGTCCCACTGAGGAACCTAACTTTGACTCTCAAGATTTACTTTGAAAACCATTGATCTGGTCTGACTCCCACATTTTACAGATGAGGAAACCGAGGCCTAAGGAGGAGAAATGACTCTATGGCCTAAGGTCATAGAGTCAGCGAGGAATGACCTGTGGGCAGGAAGACCAGAATAGGTCACCCGGGAATATTCCTCTCAGTAATCTGGAGATGCTTCATCCCCCAAACAGGGCTGGCATGTACTGTTGAAAAGGTTGTTTACTGCAAAAATCCAGCTGGCTGAGAGGTGAAATCCACCTCCTAAGCCATTCCTTGGTCTCCTTTGCGGGTTCCTTGTTTTCTCCCTGACACCCTGCTTTGTGCCATGAGTCCCAGTTCCTATATCCGCTTCCCCTCCATCCTTCACACCCATTCCCTTGGTGATCTCCTTCATATTATATCACTAGCTGGACTTGTCGTTGAACTCTAGTTACATAACCACTTCCCTACTCATCTCCACATAGATGTGGAGATGGCACCCCAAATTTAACATGCCCCAAACTGAACTCCTGATCCACACCCCTCCCCGTGTCCTGCTCCTCACCTGTTTCCCCTTCTCACCCAAACTGTTGAGTTACTCTTTACTCCTTTTATCAGCCCAGAACCAAGCCGTCGACATTAATTCGGCTGATGTTTTTCTCCTAAGACTGGAGTTCTGGGTTATTAGAAAGACTAGAGAGGTAACGTGTCATTTTCATCACATCGTATCAAAGGTACATACCACCGACCTGACTTCTGATCTTGGCCGAGGTGGTGTTTGTCAGGTTTCTGCCCTGTTACTCTTTCGCCTCCTCTTCCTGTAGTGTCCTCATTGGAAGATAGTCACTATACGTGGCCCACATTTAAGGAGTGGGGAATTAAGCTCCCCGGCCAAAACACGAAGTCTAATCATGTCACTCCTGTGCTCACGACCCTCCACGCTCCTCACTCAGCCACAGCAAAGCCTCCCAAGGGCCTACGAACCCTCGTGATCTGCCATCTCTCCTACCTGCCCTCTCTCCCCTCCACACTGGTCCCCAGCAGCTCCTTCCATGCTCCAGCCTTGTCCTGCCTCTGGTCTCAAGACCAGCTCTTTACTGGAAGGGGTTTCCCTGGAGATCTTCATGCTCATTCCTTTATCTCTTGTGGGTCTCCGTTTAACACTCTCGGTGAGTTCTCTCTTGACCCTTTTATTTAAAAATAGCAACCCTGTGTCGATGGACAGGTGAAAGATAAACAAAATGTGATATGTCCATAAAGTGGAATATTATTCAGCCCTAGAAAGGAAATTCAGACACATGCTACAGCGTAGATGAAACCTTGAAGACGTTTTCTAAGTGAAATGAGCTGGACAGAAAAGGATAAATACTGTATGATTCCACTTACTCGAGACACCTAGAGTAGCCAAAATCATAGAGACCGAAAGTAGAACGGTGGTTACCGGGGACCAGGGTGGTGAGAGTGTGTTTAATGGGTATAGAGTTTCCGTTTTACAAGATGAAAACAGTTCTGGAGATGGATGGTGGTGATGGTTGCACAACTATGTGAATGTGCTTTAAAAAAGCCACTGAATTGTACACTTAAAAATGGTTAATGGTTTATTGTGGTATATTCCACCACAGTAAAAAAATTAGCAGTCCTGCCCCCAGCCAACGTGCCCTGCCCCCTTTGCCTGCTTAATCTTTCTCTACAGCACCTATTTCCATTTGACATATAATTTGTTTTGTCTCCTCACACTACGATGCCAGCTCCCTGAAGACATTTCTATTTTGCTTGTCATATACCCTAGTTCCTGGAACAATGCCTAGGGTGTAGTAGATTCTTGAGAAACGTGAGTCAAATGAGTAGAAGAATGAACCTCGCTATGACTCAACTTCCTGATCTATAAAATGTGGGTGATAAACCTAACCTCCCAGAGTTGTTATAAACTTTAAGAGAAATACTGTAGGTAAAGGGCCCAGCACGGAGTACGGTGTTTGGTGCAGAGAAAACACTCAGCACATGTACATCATAAACCCCAGGCCCCGGAGCTAGACTTAATGAGTTCAAGTCCTCCCCTATCACTTCCAGGTGTGTGACCTGGGCAAGGAACTTAACCTCCCTGTACCTCGCTTCCCTTATCTATAAAATGAAAATACTAATAGTAACAAACTCAAAGAGGCTTGGGGAGAACTAATGAGACATAATCATGCCGTAGAAAGGGCAAGTCTCTGTTGGTTCTGTTATTTCCACTGCAGGTCCTTCTCTGGTGCCCAGCCAGGTGGGGAGTACGGAGGACGATACCTCCAAGCCCCTGACTGTTTCCTCAGCTCTTGAGTCAGCAGGCCCTCTCCAGATTGTCTCTGAGAGCAGTTCCCCTGCTGGCCAGGGCCCTATAGGACAGGATGCAGCTCTGGAAGGTAATGGCTTTTGGTTACCACCTGCTCTCCTCCCATCGAGATCATACTTGTCCCTCTTTAGGTAATGGGGATGGGGGCGGCAGGCCCAGGCTGAGGCCTGAGCGGACTCTCCCTTTCCTTCTGCAGGTCCCCCCTGGCTACAGAGGGTGGCGCTGGCCGCCTTGCTGCTTCTAGCCTCTGCCGGCCTCCTCATTGGCCTCCTCTGGTGCTGTTGCTTTTCCAGTTGGCTGGCCCGGTGGGCTAGTGCCCATGACCTCTGCCTTAGCTGCACCATCTGTCACATGTGTCCTGGCCAGGTGGCCCCTGGGGGACTGCGGCCGAGTGGGCCAGCCTTCCAGGGTCAGGTAGGCCATCCCTAAAGAGGCTGCAGCTTCAGAGGAAGTAGAGTGGGCTCTAGGGTCAGACACACCCTGGGTTCTGTCCCTACCCTTCAGGGGGCTGTCTGACTTTGGAAAGGTCACGTTAACTCTCTGGGATTCAGTCTGCTCCTCTGGAAAACGGGATGATTCCTGCCTCACAGGGTTGTGATGAAGGCCACAGGAGGTACCTGGCCTTGCAGCTCGTGTGGTGGCTGGTATTCTGCCGGATCAGTGCAGAGCAGGACCTCCATGCCCAGGGCAGAGAGCAAGGGCCTCACTCACCTGAAGCTGCCTTGCTTCACTCTCAGACCTCACCTGCCCTGCTTTGCCCGACCCTGACCCACACTCAGGTTCCAGCCAGTCAGGCCCTAGTTGAAGACACAGGGGACTGCCAGGGCGGGGATAGCACCGTTTATTAAGAAAGGTCAAGACAAAGACCACAGGAGGGTCCCTTCTAGGACACAGAGGCCAGACGTCCCGACCCCACACGTGGGGACTGCTGGTGGGGAGGTCATTTGCCACCAGTTTGGCCCTTAGTTTCCCACAGATGGGGCAGGGCTGTCATGGCCCCTTCCTGTCCCTCCCAGTCATGAGTCCTGGCTTCCCCCACCCAAGGCACTAGCTCTCTCTAGCCACCAACACCCTCCTCCCCCCATGTCCCCTGGGCCTTCACTTCCAGATCAGTGGGGGGATGTGGCCTGGTGCAGGCGGCGGGGGACCTTCTTAGTGCTGGGCTCTCCCTGTAGCAGATCTTGGTAAGAGCTGGGGTGGAGTTTCCCTCACAGCCCCTGAGGGCAGGGCCCCTGGGCTGGGTATTGTTGGGTGGGAAGATACAAACCAGGAGGGCTTGGTGGGAGGGGGAGGCTGCCAGGGGCAGGCGGCCCAGCTGGCCAGGCATTGGTGGAGGTGGAGTGGGGCTGGGACACGGGCTGATGGGGTGGGGGCTGCCTGCCCAGGGGGAAGCTGCCTTTTGCTCTACAGTTGGCACTAAAGAGCTTTCACCACCCAGGGGAGGGTGGCAAAGGCCACTGCGATGCCCTCTGCTCCTGGTGGCCGGTAAGGCCCTGGGCTGTAAGCTGGGGTTGGCTCTCGTAGGGACAAGGGCTGCCCAGGGGCTGCAGAAACAGGCGGCCCAGCTCCGTCTTGCGAGTCTCGGCTGGTGGGAGCACTTCTGAGCCCACTCAGTCACCACAGCTGCCCCAAAGTCCTGGTGGCCCTCTGAGGCACCTGCTGCCCCCCAGTCTGTGGCTTTGCCCAGGTGTGTCTGTATGGGGGGTGGAGTGCCCACCCTCCAGTCCAGCCCAGGGCAGTAGCAGCAAAGCGTGGCATTGCCTCGGTTTCTTACAAAATATTCATAATAATAATATTAATAATAATAGACTTGTGGGGCTGGGGCGCTGCCCAGGAGTCCGTGTGGGGCAGGCAGCTGCCTACGAGGGGCAGGGGCGCGTGTTGGCTCCCGCCTGGGCACTGTGCTGCAGGTCCAGTGGCTGAGGGGGTGGGGCGCCAGGCCGGGCAGAGTGCAGCACCAGGTTCCTGAGACAGCCCGTGATGCCCGAGGAGAACCTGCCCCCGGTCAGCATGGCCACGTTGGGGGCTCCGCCTGTGGGGAGGGGAGAAAGGACATCAGCTCCAGGGGCTCCGGAGGGGAGGAAGGTGTGTGCTGTAGCTCTGTAGGAGCCCTATTCCCGCCTTGTCCCAAGGAGGGGGCTCCAGGTCTACAGTGAGGCCGGAGCCCAGGACTTACCGATGTAGATGCTACCCTTGGTGTTGACTGCCACGTTCGGGCCTGGGGACTGGCCACTGACTAGCTCCTCACCGTCCACCCGGATGGAGCCTCTCCGGCCCTCTCTGCAGTGGGTAGAACTGGGTCAGGCCCTTCGCCACCAGGTCCCCATGCTCCCTGACCCAAGAAGAGTCCCTCCCTTTTCCATGAGACTCCAGACAGAGGTGTTTGCTCTCTGAGTTCCTTCCTTCCCTGTTGGATGGAAGATCTGACCCCCTCCCCCTGGCTTCCTAGCACTCACTGTGGGGTGCTCGCCCACCCACCCTATGGACTTCTGTCCTGCCCTGGAAGCCTGTGCTTGCCTGGTAGGCATTCCCTGACCCTGGCTTCAAGTTGTCTCCCCAGAGCCCAATGCCTGCCTCCCACATATGGTGCAGGGGGGAATCCTGTCCCACTCCAGAACTCTGGCCCCTCGCCCTAGTGTCTGGGAAGGCTCCCTTACCGCAGCGCCGTCACCCGATGCCACTCGCCGTCATTGATGGGGTCCTCAGAGACAAGGCGGGCCTCTCCACTGCCCAGCTGGTAGCTGCAGTCGCACAGGCCCAGGAAGGTATGAGGTGGGCAGGACAGGAGGGGGTTTGGGGAGAGTGGCAGTGGTGTGTCACAGGGGCACTGGGAGTTGTAGCTTCTTGTGGCAGGAGCCATGGGCTGACTAGAGGGGAAGCCACTGAAGGGGTAAGGGGGGTCAGGGAAGGGAGAGGACCCACCTGAAGACAAGGTGCCCATCCTGAAGCCCGAGACCGATGAAGTCCTTGCCTTGGCTGGCCTCTCCCACCTCCTGCCAGGGAAGTACAGGGCTTCTGGGGTCTCCAGTCTGGAGAGCTAATGCCCCTGATGGCTATGGCCCCCACCTTCCTCTCTCCCACTGCCCTGGCCACCAGGAACTAGGAACCCTAAGACCTAGCCTGGACACCCACACTCACCATGCCCTGCCAGAGCAGGAGGCCACTGGCTATGCTAGTCCGAACCTCCAGCTCGATGGTCTCAGGTACCTCGGGCAGGCTGTGAGGGGGAAGCAGATGATGGGGCAGAAGTCCCAGATTCCCATTTGCCTCTCTGCAACCTGTCCCCTCCCTAGGCCAGTAGGCTCTCCCAACACCCATCTCACCTCCTGGAGAAGACGTGGTTGGGGAGGGCTAGGAAGCCGTCGTCATGGAAATAGGCTCCATACTGTCCCGGGGCGTCTGTGGGAGAAAGCGGGAGGTCAGACATCTGCTCACCTGCTTGGAGTATCCATCCGGAATCGGTTCCCAGCCCCCACCTCCACCCTGACATGCACCCTGTGGGGCTCTGGGCCTGCAGCCCCTGGAGACCCCAGGGGCTATGGACAGAATTCAGGGGCCTGTGAACTGGAATGGGAAAACGTTATGGTTCTATGTTCACTCACTTCTCATTGAAATTTAGCAGTTCCTTCAATTATGCATGCAGGCAACAAACCAAAGGAGTAGCGGCAGAACCTGTGACTTTGTCACTAATAAAAGATTTCCTTATCAAATCACAGTAGGTGCAAATATCTCCAGACATCGTTTACACTTACTGAAACTGTGCTAGCTATTAGAATCACCACTAGATCTTATTATTTAATGTGTTCATAAAGAAGCATGTAGGTTCCAAATCAGAAAGTTTTCAATATTTTGATAATCTTATTTCAGTATAATTGGTTTCCTTTGAAATCCGACAGATTTTATTTTATGTAGTCAATAGGGTCCAGGTAGGGTGACCAAGCATCCCTATCTGCCAAGTCTTTGTCCTGGATGTAGCTCTGAAAGTCCCACATCTTGAGAAACCCCTCAGTCCTGAGCAAACTGGGACAATTGGTCACCTAGATCCCTGGCACCTGAAAGGTTCAGAACCTCTGTGTTCCCGCTATCTTCCAGATGCAAAGACAGGCTTGGGGGGCAGGGATGGGTGAGTGACTTGCCCAGGAAGGGGGAAGCGTGGATGATGGCAACCAGGACTTTGCAGCAATGTCCATACTGTGTGTGGCCCCAACGCTACATAGTCCAGCGCTGGCCCCTGGAGGCCTGGTAGCTATAGGGGTCAGAGGAGACACCTTTCCACCCTCCACCAAGTGATGAACAGAACAGCTACCATTTACCGAGCACCCGCTATGTGTCAGTCGCTGTGCAGGGAGCTTCACATCCAGCCATAAATATCATTGCATTTAACCGGATCCTTATAATAATCTTATCACGACTTACATATAACATTAACTTAACAAAAGCTAACATTCTGTACCCACTCTAGACCAGACATTGTTCTAAGCATTTTAAACGCATTAAATAATTCTACTCTTACATAAAATGTTATCCAAAACCTCGTGGAAGGATGTTACTTCTCGCCATTTTAGAGAGAAGACTGAGGCACAGAGAGATTAAGCGGTTCACCCGAAGTCACACAGCTCCCACGTGGCAGGGCTAGGATGTGAAGCCAGCAGGCTGGCTTCAGGGTCCATGCTCTTATCCACTACGTCACTCTCTCTCCTATTACATTAGTGATAAATAAGATCGATATCTACAAAGCAGATATTGCTTTGTCACGCAGTGCCTATAAATGTCAATAAACATTCATTTTTAAAAATTATCATTATTGCTTTTACAAGGATTTTGGAACCCTTGAGAATGAGGGTTCTGCCTCATTCATCTTATATTTACTGCTCCCAGGACAAGGATGAACACACAACAGATGCTGGTTGATAGAATGCATGAACATAGAAGAGGACACTGGAATCAGAGTGGTACAAGGGTCTGTCCATGGTCACCTAGCCATTAAGCATAAGGCAGGACCCAGCTCTGTATGGCTGTGTTCTTCTTTATTCTGTCTGTCTGTACCTAGTAAGCCTCTCACATGGACCTGTTATGCTCAGAGGCCAGAATTGAGGGTGTGGGGTAACTGGAAGGTGAGGCTCAGCGACTTGAGTCAGGGAAGGGACAAGCCTGCTCGGCGTTCCTAGCTGGCCGCAATAAATACGTACCATTGCCCCCACTGCCTTCGAGATGCCA